AATGTGTGATAGAAAAGTAATGAAAAATTTTAGATTTGTGTGTAATGTTATTTTATTTGATGAATGTGTGGTTGAAATGAAGAGAGAAAAAAAAATTAATGTAATGTAAAAAAATGGGGCCAAACGGGGGCTTAATTTTATTTTATTTTTCTCTTTATTATCCCCAACTTTATTTTAATGTCTATTTGATCATAACTATCCAGAGAATGCCAGTTAAACTCCTAGTTTTTCAAAATTTTTGGGTTTGTGTTCCACACGTTAATTTTGTGAAGATATTCAGATTTCAAAAGGATATATAGTTCACTTCAAATGCGGAGACAAGCCAGTCAGTTGGTAAAGGGGCTGTGGGAACAAATTATGACATTATCGGACTCCGACATCATAAAACTAATTCAAGAGACTCAAGTATTTCATGATGCTGCAAAAATAGGGAATGTTGAGTTTCTGACTCTGCTTACTCACTCATATCCTGATCTTATATGGAAAGTCGACTCAAATAAATACTCCGTATTTCATGTTGCTGTAATTAACCGACAAGAGAAAGTATTCAGTCTCATCTACCACATAGGAGCTGTCAAGGATTTAATTACACTCAATATAGATAATAAAGGAAACAACATTTTGCACTTGGCCGGGAAATTAACACCTCCAAGCAGACTCAATATTGTATCTGGAGCAGCTCTTCAAATGCAAAGAGAACTACTATGGTTCAAGGTGAGAAATTAACATGGTAATGAAACTGAATAATTTCTTATTATCAAATATATATGTGGACCATGTTCTTTGAAATCTCAAATATACTATTCTAAGTATTACTTTTTCACCGTGTGAGAGTTAAATTTTTGAGGATTTTGCAAAATATGCAATAACTTGAGTAAGCTTTCAGGAGGTGGAGAAGATTGTACCATATTCAGTACTCAATGTGAAAAACAGAGACGACCAAACACCAAGGGAGTTATTTTCCAAGGAGCACAAGAAGTTAAGGAAAGATGGTGAAGAGTGGATGAAGGAGACCGCAACTTCTTGCATGGTGCCACAACTTTAATTGCCACAGTCGCATTTGCTACAGCCTTTACAGTACCAGGTGGCAATAATGAAACAGGAACTTCAATATTCTTGAAGAACAGGTGGTTCACAATTTTTGTTATATCTGATGCTGTGGCATTGTTCAGCTCGACAACTTCCATAATGATGTTCTTATCTATCTTAACTTTACGTTACACAGAAGATGATTTTCTATTTTCATTACCGGCAAAGTTGATGGTTGGACTAATTTCACTCTTTGCTTCAATTGTTTGTGTGGTCTTAACATTTAGTGCAACCTTCTTTTTGGTTTACAACGAGGAAAAGCAAGGGCCGTTGCCAAGACTAGTAGCATCTCTTGCTTGGCTTCCAATCACCATATATGCAGTGCTAAATTATAAGCTATGGAGTGCCCTAATCCACTCGACTTGCTAGCCGGCTATGGTCATGTTTCGACCAGGAAAGCATAGGCTCTACTAATAAAAGGATCTACCATACTTGTTTTCCTCTTTTCTTTTTTAACGAAAAAGATGTATAGTTCAAAATTTGCTATGTTGTTCCTCTAAGTATCATTTACTCAAACATGATTTGGACATGTTTCATTATACTATTTCATATGCTTTGTTGGGTTTATATACCTAATAAATTCAGGCAAGGGAAAAATACATAATTACATTACATTAAAAATACAATTTCATATTTATCAAACTTGTAAAAGAGTTTCACAATCAAGTGCTAAATCATAATATATATACACATTAAATTAGAAAAAATACACATTAAATTAGGATAATTTAATCATCATTATCACATCCTAAATATAGCATATATTATTCTTTCCTAATATTTCTATGCAATCCACAAATTTTCTCCATTTCTTAATCACACATTCTTGAAAAAAAATATTTTTTTTTTTCCTGAAAAATCTTTGCGAGACACGCTTTGTTCAAATTATGAATTGATTCGCGAGTTTTGAAAAGGAACAACCTCAAAAGTTATTCAATCATCAAATAATCAAAATTAGAACACTCACGAAATATTAACTTAAAACCACTGACCAGAAAGTGTGAAATGAAAATCAATGCAAGACAAGAACCCGAGTATCTAAGACGCGAGGTTGCTATGCTAATAGACCTCCCCTTTGGACATGGATCTACATTCACTAGAGCAGAATTTGCTTTTTACGGCACGCAATGCTTTTTACGACATGCATTATTGCATGTCATAAAAAAAATATTACGGTATACATGTGAATATCATATAAAGTGATGCTTTAAATACTCACATGAATGCACATACATGTGAACGTCAATTAAAGCCATGCTATCGATACTCAAGTTTTTGAGGCATATAATGCATTGACTGTCCATCAACTATTTCAATCATATTATATATAATACGAAAATTGAAATGAAAGAATGAAATTAATATTAGATTTTAAGCATTATTATCCAACGTGTTATTATATTCTTGGAAACTTTGCCCCATTCAGAAATTATCAAAGGGTGAAAAACAATAAAACCTTTATTATCAAATGTGATATTATATTCTTGAAGACTTTAAACCGTTTATAAAATGACCAAAGGGTGAAAATAATAAAACCCCTAAGTCAAGTATATATTAAATTAATTTGAAATGTGCTAAGAATTAAACGAGTACTTAAGCAATTTAGATATTTGGTGGGGGTAGAATTTCTCTTTTGGGAGGTCGTTTTGCTCTTCAATTTTGCAGTATTTAGTTAATTATATGTTTTCAGCTAGAAGTACGTTTACTACTTTCATTATTCATTCACCTCTTATGGATCAAGTTGTGCTGTGTTGTGTTGTGTTGAGTTTCAAAGATTTTAGCTATTTAATTATTCATTGCGCTTACGTATGTTGTGAAAACATAAATGAACTCATATGTTGACTTTACCTGTTCGCTAAAATTGACTTTTTAATTATAAATAAATCATATCGAATATGTAACAATTAGGGGTCATTTTGATTGCAAATGTAAAATTTGGGTGGAAAGAAAATGAATTACATGGAATTGAATTGCATATAATTTGTTTTACTAGAAATTGTAATTAATTTTGTTCGATTGGTATAATTTTCCACCTAAAAAATGTTGAAAGTTTGGTGTCCGTTTGACTTCATTTTTTTATAGAAATTGTCCATTAAAATGATAATTTTTTCTACCATTCTATTTAAAATTTGTTCCAATTACCAAAAAGTTAGAAAAAAAAAAAATTGTTTGGCTTCGTTTTTCATGAAAACTGTCCATTAAAATGATAATTTTTTTATCATTGGGTCTAGAATTTGTTCCCATTGCCTAAAAAAAATTATCATACCGAATATCATTCATTTGACTTTGTTTTGCATGAAAATTGTCAATAAAAGTGATAAATTTTTTTACCATTGTATCTAGAATTTTTTCCAATTGCCCAAAAAAAATGGAAAACAAAAAACCACCTAGATGGTGTGAAAACCAATTCACCAAAAACCAAGAAAATATGTCATGTGATGGTAAAGCAAGAAAATGAATTTCATGAAAAAAAAAATGCCATCAAATAAGCTAAAAGTGGGAAATGAAATTTGGATTCCATTTTCCATGGAAAAAATTGGCCAATCAAACATAGCCTAAATTTCTTTACAGACTAAAGGACCCAATATGATGCACCGCATTGGGTTTATTGGGCATACTACTAAATTATGTTACTCAAAAATAATTTAATTAGGATTAAACATGTGACACGATGACTAGGTCAATCATTAATTCACGTCTAATGCATACTTGTGAGGAAGTGGAGATGGGTGGTTGAGAGTCTAGATGGGATACGATGAACCTATCAATTGCGTGGAGGATGTCTGATCCTTTATCACCTCACGAATCTTTCACTTTATATTTCTAAACTTATTCAACGTGAAATTTATCCTCAACATATTTATTTCAGAAAAGTTAGAGATAGAAGAAAACAGAATGCAATCAGGAAATTAAGCTTCTATTTATTTTAAAACTTTTTTCCTTCAAACTTATTTTCAACTATAAATTTTTATAATAACATATTTTATACATAAACTCAAAAAATTTTCTTACATTCTTCAAAATTTTACTATTCATAAATTTATTTTCGTACGTTAATGATTGACAAACATGAACTAAGTGCCTAATTGATAACTCGGCTTTATTTTTTCTATGAAGAATTGTGGAGCGAGTGACAAGCAATTATTGAGTACACGTGGATTCTCAACAATCACTCGTACCACCAATGATTGTCGTTCTCTCCCAAATTATCACCATTCGATCAGCCAACAACCGTTCAATCGGTCATCAGTCGTGAGCCCGCTAACCTAACAACCGAAGTCAGCACAGGGATATAGAGTTCATGAAACTGTGTATGAGGTGGAAGGTATAATTGAAAGAGAATATTTCTTGAATTATGAACTCTGTATTGTCGATATTCATTCAAGAAATGTTCGAATCCTTAGTGAGTAAGACTGGGTAAAACATTTTCATCAAGTCCAAAATATTCAAACTATATTTGAAATCACTTTGAAAAATTTGAAGGGCGTGCTTGGTTAAAAAGTATAAACCAAGAATGAGTCATTAGTTTAAAGTAAAAAACATGATACCAAGTATTCTTGTAGTCAAAACAATTGAAATGAGATTCAAACATTTCATCTTTAGATAAACGCATTCGCTTCTCATCCCATGGGTTCGTCCCCAGCCTTCATAAGATAAAACCCTTTGAATATTAATTTTTGAAAAATCAATATGATTTAATTTTTGAGAATTTGAAGTATGGGTTATGATAGTCGATCCAGTTTTAATAAGGATAGCTTTAACAAAGGCTCTTGATTTTTTGATATTTCTGGGTATGAAATGAAATTGAAGAGGGAATATATCTTGAAAGCATTCATTTAGAGATGAATACTTGTGCGCTCATGATGTTTCCATTTTGGGAGCAGGTAAATGAATTAATTTGGTAAAATAATGAAAGGTTTTTGAAGGATTAATCTCTGGTAATTTGTCAGAACCGGGTTGAACGGCTTTTTTGTAAATTGAATGTTTTGGCTAATCAAAACTTTCCTTTTTTTTGAATCTTTCAATGTTTTTGGAAAGTTGAGAAAGATTAAGTTTTCAAGGCTAAAGTTGTTTTGAGAGGTAGATGAACTCCGTTTTCCCTTTTTTGATCCAAAATCGACCATAAAACTCACCCAAATTCGATTTCAAATCAACCGAACCTACAACCTTGATTTCTAGCTAAACTATGAAGTTTTTGGACAAATGGAAATCGAAACTACGCTATACAGGTGCAGGCACCATTGGGTGTGTGGTGCGAGAAATGGACGACGGCCGGCGGTGATGAAGCCTGAGCGCTTCGGTGGTGGCGCGTCGGGCAGAATCTGGAGAAGCTTCCTTCGAAAAGTTTTTTCATTTCATCATTCTGAATGTACAAATTACTTTAATTTTGTGTTTCAAGTTATACAGTAAATCTTGGACGATTTTTCCCTTAGACGTTCAGTTTGCAATATTTGGTCAACTTCGTTGATACATTTGTTGAAATTTTAGGGTGAATAATAGTGGTCATAAAGCAACAGATTCACATCTTTCAATTTTACGGACCTTCAGACGTGGTCCACTCGGGTAAATTGGCTTATCTCACTTAATTTTCAGCACTGGTGTGTCATCGTGTGGGCGACATTAGGATTGGGATTACCGTGTGGGTAACCATTGACTGTGCTAGAAGTTAAGAACTACTTGTGTTTAATTGTTACGTGATTAAGACGTTCATTGGATAAAATCAATTTATTATCTCTTTGATATGCTGTGTGTGAAGATGTTTTGTTAACATATCTCTTTTGTTGTACTATTGACTCTATTTAGAATACCTAGACCTTGTCCGTTCGAACGTTCCCTTTATTTAAGATTGAGAATCTTACGAAGCCTTGAAAATCTAGAATGGTGTATATCGTTTGCGACCATATGTTTACTTTGTGTAGCTTAGTTGTGATTCTGTGCAATTTTGATTGATTAGTT